GACGGAACAGCTTATACATAAATATGTGGAAACATGTGGCAAGTTTGAAAGGTTGCCCCAGGTTGAAGCATCATGGAGCTTTAGCCGCAGTGACCCACTCGGGGGTCGGCCAACCGTGAATCCCAGACAGATCCCAAGCAGTGCACTTGCAGGTGCACCGCGTCGATATGTGTGCGATGAAACCGACGAGTCTGCAAACCCAGGACGTCATGCGAGTAGAGAGCTGAGTTCTCATGCTATAGTTGCGGTTTGGAAGCTGACTTCCCCACAACAATGGCACGACCTTAGCCTTCAGGCATGTTTTCGGGCGTCTCCCGTATCATCCCCAGAGCAGATGTATCGCAATTCCGACAGTAATTACAAACAAGAAGAGCGAAAGTGTCACGGACTTGTGAGGAAATGCTGACAACAGGTGCTATCCAATGACCACGATCCAGAGCCTTTGTCGCAACCACCTTGCATTGAGCTGCACGGCAATGGCAATGACAATGACCCCTGTAAATATTCCCTTTGAAGTATTGAAGAAATTGTATTGTCCCCGCTGTCCACTCATGACCATCGGGGCATTTCCTGCGTCTGCTTGGTAGTGTGTACTCGGCGGGCTCGAGCACCGAGCTTATGGTTACTAATCCATTCCTCCGACTTGCTCGTCATCCATCTCCAAAGGCTTTAGCCCAGGCTGTCGGTTTGAGCTTGCTCGAAGTAGTTTTTGTTTCGGAACTTGAGCTTTGAGCAGCAATGCAGTTGCTGAGTGCGAGATGGTGGGTTTATCGGATATGCAGCATGCTCGTCGCTGGCAAGACATCTCAGAAGCTCAACAGTGCCAAACCAAGGGTCATGGTCGCATACTGCGCCCTGTCTGGATGCACAGCGGCGCAGAGTCAGCTGCTGATTTTGCTGGTGTCGGGCTCTCAGGTTGTGGATGTGAAGGCATGAGAAGTATAAGATGTTACCGGCGTTTGACATTCCTGCTCAATAAGTGAACTTGAGAACCGCATGCAGCTGCCCGGGCTTAGCGGCTTGGCACATTGCGGTATTATTAAGACTCGATGTTCCCGACCCTACCTTTTTGGACCCCCTTCCTTGCTGAAGTCGCGATGGCTTTCTCGGTGCGGAACCTGACAGCTGCCAAGGTCATACGATCGTTCGGCTGACGGCTTCGAGTTCGGTCCGCGTGACATTGGACTCATCCAAAACATAGGCGCCTGCTGTGACAAATCGACGAGTCTGGCCAGAGTTTGACAGACAGCCTGCATCGCCGATGCAACGACGCTCTGTATCGAGGCGCCGTCGGGTTGCTGATGTCCCAGCTGCTTATCTACCCCGTGCTGACCGCGAAGCTGGGCCTCTTGGAAAGAAGTTTTGTCACCAGCTACTGTGCAGAGCGCAGCCGTTGGAACAAGGACGTTGAGGCCGTTATAGCATTGCTTCCATGCCTTGTTCTACTCTTACTCATTAATTATGCCTTCCCTTTCGCAATCCTTGTCGGACCTAGAGCTGCCGAGGCTTCTTACGAACCTTCTTCTGTGGGTTCTTGCTGAGCAACATCGCTTATGGCTTATTTCCCATCTATGGTACCCATGCTGCAGTACGCACGAAGCTTCTGGCAGAATGCATATAGTGCAGCGCCATGCGATGCCCAAACATGGCCTGGTCCGTGCTACTAGCATGGGCTTTCAGAAACACAGCGACAGTGAGAGTCATGCTTCCGACACTGAGGTCTGTTCGCGGATCCGGTAGTATACGGTGCCATGGCAAGATTCGCACACACTGTCGTGCTGACCAAAAGTCTATTTCATATGCTTGAACAGCCATTGAACAGCATTTAAGCCCATGCTTTGCTTTTTGCCAGTGCAGGCTCTTGGCGATACGTGCCCTTGGGCCTCTGCCAGTTTTTCTACACGGCAGGGACGGGCATGATGTTCCCGACCGCCTTCGCCTTCATCAACCGAGACTCACCTGAAAAGTCCGTAGCAAGACGAGCACAACTTCCCACCGCTTCAAGAACCAGGCTTTGTGATATCGGCTGCCGGTGGGCCTGAGGGCCTGAGATTCGCAGTTTTAAGATTGTCGCTGGTTTTCACGTTCATGCTTAGATCTTTTTTCGGCATGGCTCCTCCCAAGTTCCGTCCTAGCCTAGCTTCACCCGAGGCTTCATGGTGGATTCGCACGCCCAACTCCTGATAGCATTCCCTGCTTTAGCACTCCTCAAGACAGAAATAGACCGAATGTGTTTCCTCGAATCGTTGAATAGGGGGCCATCAAAACAACCCCCCCCCCCCCCCCCCTCCGCTTTTTGCATGTCAATTTGTCAATGTGTCTTGGGCGGGGTACGGCGGCTTTTGCTTGTGCAAGCGTCGTGCACCAACACATAGCACCGATGGGTGCAGACGCGCGTGGAGGCCGGGAGGAAGAGGCCGTTGTACACGAAGTACAAGTCTGGGTACATGGTACGTGTCATGCAATCGGAAGACTTTCATCTGTCCCCAGGCAGTGGGGGAGTCCAAATCTTCGGCGTTTTTCAAGCCATCATTTCAGATGCGGCCGGCGCAGGATTTCAGGTTAACTTGCCCCATTTGGATGTTCGAATCCTTGTCACCGGAGCCTCCCGAGATGTGAGCACCCCCACAAGCCTCAGCTTAAGGTGCTTCCGAGGGACTGAGCCGAGGGGCGGTGAACGGCTGGGCAAACTCCAGTGGCAGCTTGGTCGCCTCGGTGTTGGGTTTGTTGAGGTCGAAGGATGGCAGGCTGTTGTTCAGGTATGGGCTACTTGTAGTGGGCTGACGGACATTCTTAAGTTGATGACTTCTCCGTAGCTGCTGCAGGGACCGTACGCGCGAATCCATGTGGATCGTTCAATTAAACAGCTCCTGTATAAACGAGCTTGAACCACGTCGGTTTGCGCCAGGCCTCACTTTTCGTCTTCAAGCCTCCACAATCAATGAGACCCACGAGAAACATGAAACATCCTGCATTTTCATTTGACGTGCACGGGATAGTCCACATCTCTGTCATCTCCCATTCGATACTACATGATACTACTCATTGAGCATTCGACAATGATCTCTGGATTCCGCACCCAGATGACTTCTCAGATCATCTTAGACCTTAGAATGCTCGCCACTTGCAGGTGCTCTGTGCCGTGCAGTATTTCCGCCAGCGGCTGCAGCCCCTCGGCCTCACAATAACAGGTCTTCATCAACTTGTGCACAGTATTTTTTTGGTGGCGAAGCTTGCAACAGCTTGGCAATGACAGCAGGTCATGGGATGTAACGACTGACGTATGACATGAGGTGCAGGGCAGAGTAACTTGAGTAAGTAAGGCAGCTACCATTGACATTGAGTGCCTCAGGTACTCCTGGGCCAATGCAACCGTTGCTTGCCGGGCCTTGGTTTCGGGTGCAAGGTATGGGCGCTAAGGCTGCAGGATCAGGTATATTTTTGGTGTGTCGGAGGGGGGGGGGTGTTTCCAGTTCTCAGGGAGCGACTCGCGACTAGCGGTTTGTTTCGTACAAAAGCCACATGAGCCTCACGCGGCTCTTACTTCAATTTTTTCTTTTTTTTTTCTCCACATGCTAATTTCACGCAAACCTACTGTATGGCTGCAGCGAATACAAACTCCACATCAACACTATTGATGCAGACCACGCACACACAGCATAGACCCCCAACGGCAGCTGACGAGACGATGGGTGTTGAGGTTTGGGGCCATTTGGCCGCTACATACCCTTTTATGTTCTGACGATGATATTTGGTGTGGTATTTGCTCCGGGCTCAGTCGAAGACTGCACGATGCAAGCACTTACTGCCTTGCTACCTTTAGCCACTAATTCCACATCTTGACCTGAGTCACCGGACTGAGGTCGTCTGTTGGACGGGACTACGCCGAATCGATGAAAAATCTGTTCGAACAGTGGCCCCGCGGTCCGCGAATCGCGCGGATGAGGAGGACTGTAGAAGATCACGCCGCGAACCACTCATGGAGAATTAAGACTCCTGAGCTTCACGGAGGCCAAAGGCTTGTGGCAGCAGGGTTGAAAACTAGCATATCATTGCGCATACTTATATATATATATATATATATATCCGAAGCTTCCATACGCCTAAGACCACAACGAAGTCTCCATTATGTTATTTTCGTAGCTCGGCAGTCTGTGCAGTCGCATGTCTGCCGACCTTGCATGTCCAGTTCCGCTTCTCATTGTCGAGGTCGATCAGACCTGCAATTGAATTCAGAGTGGCTTTTCCAGATATTCACCCAGGTTTTCTGAGTTGATAAAGCTGACAAAGCTGAAGCCAACTTCTCAGGCGCATGTCCGATCAGCAGTGATCCCCATGATAACAATGCTTCAATCCTTCTGCAATGCCAGACCTCAACAGCTTCTTTTGCGCATGTTGGGGCACCTGCTTTATTTCGAGACTATGCTGCTACCATCTTCGGTGTACAGAGTCCAGCTGCAGTGCGCCGAAATTCTGCGGGGAAGACGCCCCATCGTTTAAGCCTAATAAGCAGGCTGAGCAAGAACACACCAGCAAGATCTTGTGCAGGTGTACTATCTCAGCCTGTTCGATGGCCGGACGCAGTGGGAATGGATCGCTCCTCAAATGGCGTCGGCGCACCATGCTGATTGATCTCTCTGAAAGCAGATGCTGCTGCCAGAGTGCATCGGATAGCCAAGGGGTGCACATTCGCAGCATGATCATGGTGGTCACAAGTGACATCGTCGTCTCAGTCGTTGTGTGGTATAATCTGAATAAATTAGACTTCTTTTCCACTCGCGAGGCGGCCGATGCCGAGACAAAACCAGACTTTACTGATCTTTACTGCGTACATAGGTCTTCTCAACTCAAACAAGGTGCCAGTACACACATCTCGGTATACACACCTGCCATCCGGACATTTTTGCTGCGCCACTCCTGGAAAGCACGATGTTCCAGGGCTTGAGTTTGCGAATCATGGAGGGCATCGTGCTTGCAGACAAAGGCCCACCGAGAACGCAATGGCTTTCCAACAGCGCCTGGAGGCAGATCCGCCCGGCGTTTGAGGTTCTGAAATGTTCTGAACTTGTGCTTCAGCGCAGTGCAACAAGAATTCCAGCAGAGCTAGGGCAGCCCCCTCATTTTCACTGTAATCCCCTTTGCCAACACAGTGCCAACTGACGGCAGCTGCTCTTCGACTCTGTATAGTCCTTGGTTGTGAGATGTTTCAGAATCTTTGGCGTCAGCTCGCACAGGAACTCCATTGTAGATCAAAGAGTCGATGATGGAACATGAAGTTTCAATCACAAGTGTCAAACGATACGCCATCAAAGCCCTTGGCCTTCTGAAGCTCCAGAGCCCCGCTCAGCAGGAGCTTCCGGCACCGTCGTCCTCGGGTCGAATGCTGGCGCTGCCCGGCTCCACGCAGGCGTGAAAGCAAAACACGTTGAAAGGAAGACCATGTCAGAACAACGCATCTGGACCCTGACTACCAGCTATTGGACGGTCACTTCCCTGCGCTCTCTTGGTTCTGAGTCGTACATGTGTACAGTGCATCTGGGACCTGCTGCATGCTGCTACGTTTCTGAGCAACAGCAAACAATTGATGTCAGGAGTTTCGCCAAGAGGATGAGGATGATGAGTTCAGCCAGTCCTCGGACGAGTCCTCCCTGGGGCTGGCTCTGGATGAGGCTCCATGATTGCCTGAACCCTTGCACTAACCCGAGGAGATAGTGCACACCTACTGCCACCTCTTCCCTAGTATAATGTCGAAACAGCACGGGGGGAGCGTGGTTTGCAGTCTTTCTTTGCAGTACTTAACACACCTCGACATAGTTCTGTCTCGCAAATAGTTCTGTTGACTACTAACTCCGGGTGGTGCTACTAGGCAAGGTTGCAAGTACCTGCGTCGAGTTTGGCGAAAGCTGTCGGAGTATGCAAAGCATACGCATATCGAAACAGCACAGGCGTGACTGATCATTCGGTCTTAGATTGATGAAGACAGGCGTGCAGGCAGTATGCAGATTCCTGGCTTTTTGGGCGGGTTTTTTCGGGTTGAATTGACGAGAAAGGTGAGCCAATGCTCCGTCTTACAGGCTTTGCACGGAGTTCTGAGACTCCAGGCCTGAAAGATTGAGCCTAAGAATCAACGGAACAAGAGACGGGTTTTGGACCTGAACTCCCGACCTTGAAGCCAAAGCCAAAGTTCTTTAGCAACTTGAGTTCAGGGCTCTCCGAACGGGGTCCAGTATTCTCGGAAAAGAAATGAAAGGTGGATGCCAATGATCTCCTTGCTGTACCCCCTGGTGCCGAGAATGCGGAGAATGCCCAGGACTGGCTAAGAAGTAAGCAACGCCAGACCTGTGTCATTGTTTTCGACTCTGTGTCAGCACAGCCGCATGGAATTACCTGCGGCGTTTGGAGCGTCGGAGCTCCTATTTTAGCATGGGGGGTCGTTCAACTTCACAGGAGTAGATGCTTTGAAGCTCGCTTTGACGGCACACAGCTGTGCGCCGAACTCTAGCCTCCTCCAGAGTCAGCCAAGGCCCTCTGACACTCTGAGTAGTTTAGGTTCAGGCCCAACACGGCATAGCAGTTTCATGCCCGCAGCAGCACCGTCAACGATGCGGAAGCGCTTGTGCTTAGATTCGTGTCAAACGCGAACATCTTGTGGACACAACATTGTGCAGCGCCACCCCCCCCCCCCCCCCCCCCCCCCCCCCCCCCCCCCCCCCCCCCCCCCCCCCCCCCCCCCCCCCCCCCCCCCCCCCCCCCCCCGGGTCCCCCCAGCTTGCGGACGCTCAACAACCTGAAGGCTTCCGTTCAAGGCCACTACAACAATTCCGTATTCATGGGGAATAGCTTTTGCTTACGTGGGAATGAGTGGCAATCAGAAACAGCCATGACATTCGAGTTTGTTCACCAGGCCTTCGTTGCCATTCCAAATGTAGCAAATGCATCTTCGAAACGCATGTGAGCCGCCCACTCACGGCCACTTCTCGGATGCTGCAGCCTTGATGCACCCTTTGCGAGTACCCTCAAACTCTACCGCAGAACTACTCCACTAGGTGGAGAAGAACTTGAGAATGAAGTCCACCTTCAGGGCAGTTCATCTTGACAATTCGTCTGTAAGTTAAAGGCTAGTTTCGGGCGCTTGTAGCTACATTACGGCGCTTATCGAGGTTTCAAATTGGGACATTTACGTACCTTTTGCGTGTTGCAAGTTGAAGTAGAATGAGATTGCTGCTTCCCTTTTGCTGTCAGTCCGCTACAAAGCAGTCTGTGCAGCTATATACATGCATGTATATGTATATGTATGCAGCTGTGACATCTGCTGCGCAGCCGAAGTCTGACAACTGCGCCACCACCACCACCAGTCCATTGCCCCCTCTTGGCTACAAAACGGCTAGAGCTTGCAAGCACCAACTCGGAGACTCGCGCTCACCGTTGCACATGAAAACGCAGGGTCAGCCCGACAGATACTTCGACTTCGGGCTCTGAGCATGTTGTCCATGCGCAGGCAGAAGAAGGGGAAGCCGCGCAGCCGCAGAAGCACGGGCCCCACTTCAATGACTCACCTCACCTCAGTTGTGGCATGTTGTGGTTGCGGAAGTGACAAAGGCGGGTTCAAAAGCAGTCACTGCAGTCACAGGGCGATGCTCGCTACCGAGGTGGGGCACAGACAAGCGTGATGCGGAGTGGGTAAGCCTCAAAAGGCACTTTCCCGTCGCGAGATTACGTGAGCTTCGGTGATTTGATGTTTAGATGTTTCAGCTGATGGCACTGAAGGGTTGTCTTCCGGCGCATAAGAACACTGCAGAGTGTACTGTTTGCACTTGGATCCATCTGTGTTGGTAACGCGCTTTGTGGTGCCTAACCCGAAACCTGAGATCTGCTGTCATGTTGAGAGGTGGGCAGGCCCTGGCCAACCTAATTACTTCTACAGCTGGGGCCACAACAGCTTAAGCTCTGCACTCGACGTTGTAACTCATGCAGGTGGGTTTCTTGGATAGCAGTTCCCTTTTTGCATCGAAGCCTCATCAACTACCGTATGACAGCCAGTCCAGTGAGCTTTGCAGACCATGCAGTATCATGCAGAACTAGTTAAAAGTTAAGTTCACGTGCGGCATGCGGCATTGGCAGACCTTATCCAGTATCATGGGCACCAAACACCAGACATCCAGACATCCAGACATGCCCATTATGCAATCGCCAGGCAGATGGCAAGCCAGAAGAAGGCGCACGATGAACGCAAAAATCTCGGTTTTTTGCTTCCACAAGTCACGAAGATCATTAGGGCGATGAATCCGACGTCCATGTTGCAAGCACAATCCTCTCCTCACTGGTCTATAGTCATCTCCCTGCACATCACCAGGGCGACTGATTCTGATTGCTTCCTCGTTCTCACCCATGTTCTCATCCGGGACACCCTAAGGCTGGACGACTGCAAAGCATTTCCCTGGTGTGCGAGAATTTGTGTTCACCTCAGCGCATTTCAGATGCTCGCGAAAACGAAATGAAGGGAACCCAGGCACATGTTTGCTGCGAGCTAGTGCCCCCTCTTCGTCTGACCGCATCTGAAGTGCTCTTGCTGAGGTGCGAAGGTACGAGCTTGCGAACCAGGTGAACAACTGGGACAGGCGTGACTTTGTGTGCTACATAGCACTGCATGGCTGTTGGAGTTGCAATTGGAATGTAAGGTGTTTATGTAGACGCTCTCGGAGCTAATATGAGTTAAAGCTGCCAGTTCTTCCGGGCATGGTTTCCACATTTCCACAGCCTAGCCAAATCAAAGGGTGCACCAGCCCAGAGCACCAGGGCGGTGGACAACGTCACGTTGAAGATCGACAACATGGCGCGTCAGAGAGGACAGCTGGCACCTCGGTCAGGGGATGCATCGCATGCAATCCGGAGACAAGGGACTGACCAACTCCCCATGTCGGCAGCATCCAAATCAGCAACTGCACTGTGTGCAGCGGCTGACATGCTTCTTCAAAACCTTGTTCGATTTTTGATGCGCGTACTGCTCGCAGCAAGGCTGGGAGTCGTGGCTGAGTTGCGGAAGGAGGACTCCAGCAATTCATAATCGAGGAAGGCAAGGGAAGGTCTTGTTTTGTAGATGTTGCTTGCAGGAGCTGCGCCAGATATTCCCCATCATCCAGCGGCTACAGTGGACCAAGTGGTCTAGTGGGCAACTTAGTCTCCCTTCGGGCTGGAGCTGTCAGCAGTAGAGCAGAAAGATGCAGAAAGACTGCTAAGTTCTTGGACCAAAACAGAATTCGTCGGCTTTCAGGTGACGAGCTCTTCCCAATACCAACAATGCACCTAATCCACTCAACAAAAATAACGATCTCGAGGACACCAAGATACTACCAGGCATAACATTGGCACTGACCCGAAACCGAATTGAGTCAGGCAACTTGCCAAGCAACATCAACACGTTTTGTGTTAGATCCTTGCAGGAAGATCGTGCATCCTCAATCATCGTGTTGCCTTGCAAGGTCAACCTAGATTTATCAGCGCATGCTAGCCGTTTTCAAAAAAAGAGCTTGCCAATTGTCTACAGTGCAGGGGTGACCTGACAGCAAGGTGAACGAGCTGCTTGAGCAAGACTCGCTGTGTATGGGAGAACAATACCAGCATTGAGCAGCAGAAGAGAATTACAGCATCTTAAAAGAGATCGTTTCGTTTTCAAAGCCGCTCAGTTTGATTTATGGAATTCATGGGCCTGTCCGGGCTCTGTCCCAAACCAGCAAACTCCCGAATAAACCAGCTCATCTTCCGAACCTCCGCCGAGCATATCCGAATGCCGTGGAAGACTCCAATTAGTGCGGAATTGCTTCGACGATGTCACAGCCTAGGCCTGGAGATCCTCTGCCACTGCATCATCCGAGAGTATCCTTTACAGGCAGGCCTCTTTTGTTGCACCAACATTCCAAGAAGCTTCCAGCCAGTGGCACGGCAGTAGTATCAAAATACAGTATGTCAGTGCATCAGTGGTATACTCTCTGTCACCTACATGATCTGACGCGATGCGCCATGGTTCGGTTAGCTCGTCTGTGTTTTCCGTCCAGAATGCGCTCTCCAACACGGCGAGACCGACAAAGTTCCATCGGACATTGCTGTCGGCAGCTTACTGCGCTGCTATCAAGAGCCTGAGGGCAATGCTGACTGAGCTGGGTCCGAGCCAGTTTAGTCTACACAAGGTTTAAGTTAACATCCTTGTATCTGCGAGCCTTGCATTCCCATGATACAGGACATGCAAATCTTTAGGCTGCCACTGTAAGCGTAGTGCAGCACCCTTCCGTTGTCCTTCTGATTCTGGTCTATTGCAATGATATTCCCGAAATTACCAGTAGGTAGGACACAACTATGTGTCCAATACTCTTACCTCAAGCGGTTCAAAGCAATATAGCTTTGTAGCAGCAGTCGCACACCTTGTTTGATGCGCTTGTTTTCATGCGAGCTGACTCTTCAATCATGACGACATATGACGACAACGACCATGACACACGATGACAGCGACGATAGCAGCGATGACGACAACGACATCAGCACAACAAACGCCACAGCCACGACAACGTCAACGACGACGGTGAAGACAACAACGACAGCCAACGGCATCGACATCCTCCAATAGGGACCACACCTGCAATACTTACATTGCATCCTTGCTTTGCCAATCCCACAAAACAAAAGCAGTGGGCTGATTCGAATACCCATCAAACTCAGTTCCCAGATCAGTTTGGTCTTGTCTTGGCTCCGAGGCATATCTTCAGGGTGATTGCGAGCCTGCTGGGCGCCTGCATCATAGTCACCTTTCCAGTGCGCTACTTACAGTCGCGCTTTTCAGAGCGACAGCTCATGCAAAGGCAATGCCTCCAAGCGGCAGGTTTTGCTGAAGAAATGTAACCTTCGCTGCAACAGTGATGGCCGCCGTTGCTCATTGGACAGTCGCAACTTTTCGACAGCTACGACAGCAGTAGCAAGCATGCAGCTGGCCATGAACATGGTGGGGCACCAAAGAAGGGAGCCTCTCTCCAGCAGCGGTTCTACTGTATCTCCTTTCATCCAAGAAGCCGTCACGGGTGCCTTCCGAGAAGCATGTCTGCCTGATATCTTTGTAAGGCCCCTGTGGATGAGGAGGTGGAAGCGACGAGTAACTTGGAAGCATGTCCATGAAGGCTGACAGTATGGTCATTTGTTTTTGTGAACTGACAATTTTTGCAAGCATGTAGTGTTATGTAGCATGCCTCTTTTCTTGCCTTGCCCAAGCCGGAGTTGTTTTTTTCCATCGGGGCTTTGCTCACCTGCCGAGACACCGCCACGTGGGACTTGTTCGTGCAGGCAATGACAATGCCAAGCCCCCAGCCATGCAGCAATGCATAAATACGACAAAGACGACTACGGGTTGCCACTGTCATGCGCCACAGCCGCAAGTGAAGCGTTTTGGAAGTCGATTAGTCTTCCAGAATGCTTAGGCCTGTGACCGGCAATACGCTTCTTTGTGCGTGCATCGGCATTCTCTTCAGTTCCCTCGCGTGGAGCTCAACGCATGGTGCATGGCGGTGCATGGCCAACTTAAGCGAGGTCGCTGCATTGCGAACAACAATTCGTAAGCTAATGTGCAGTATGCATTGAGTGAGCGATGCTTGGCCTGTGACCATCACTGTTGTCACTGTTGAGAATCTGAGAATTCGCGGCTTTCGATCCAAAGCCTTACATAACCTGTGAGGTAAAGCGGGTCATCAACAGGCCCGCGACGGCTCGGACTATTGCCGTATCACGGGGAGTCTTGTCAGGGTGGCAGGCTAGACTCTTGAAGAGAACTGTGCTTTTGGCACGTGCAGCGTGTGCTCTGCTTTTGCAATCGGTTTTTGGGGACTATGCTGCCGCGCGGAGCAAACTTGACCCTTGAACAATGATTGCCGAGCCTCTTTCCCACTTTGGACAAGATTGAGCTGAGCGGCTGAGCACCCTCATTTCTCAGAATATGTCAGGTGGGGGGTAGCGCATCACAACAGGGGCCAGAGCATTCTAGCAGCAGAGTTCAAACGGTTACTTACAGATACAGGTCGAGTTACACTTCGACTTGCACTACGAGTCACGCTAGTGCAGCATTGATATTTCGAAATGTTCTCATGTTCATGTTCGTTCTTGGCAACAGGGAAGCCTTTCAAATACAAGCAGAACAGATTCCGAAATATCCTTCAGTGTAGCAGGCACAAGGCCATGAGTGGTTTATCTCGACTTTCTGTTGCTTGTGTTCAAGCATCTACAGAGCGGAGGCTGTTCTACCGCTATGCCATCCCTTACAACCAGCGGCCTACCACCTCCGTGGAAGCAAGGAGGTATCAGCTAAGGCAGGGCATCGTGATCTGCTTGCAGTGGGCATGTATAAAGAGCAGAAAGCAGTAGAAAAAAGGCATTGCAAGCATGTTCAACGTAAACGTCATCCAGCCCCGATTGCAGATACTGGCATGAGCTGGCAGAAATGGGGAAGTGGACCTGTTGAGGGCTCAGAGATTACAAATCTGAGCCGTTCTCGTCATTGCGCTGCTTGCTACTGCGTGTCGCAATTGGCCGACCGATCGGAAACGCCGAGGCATTATCGGCAGCTTCCTGGGATTCGGAGCAGCTGTGTCCATGTGCATGCCTGGGCCCTTGCTTATGTCTGTATGACATCATCAATGTCATAGTTAGGATGTCTTGTTGTTGGTGGTGGAGTTGTTGTTGCTGTTGGTGGTGCTGCTGCTGCCGCCGCCGCCGCTGCTCTTGCTGCTGCTTTTTGTGCTGCTGTAACCAGAGCTCCCATACTGAGTTACTGTATACAGTTTACTATTATGAAGTATACCATAGTATACAACCTCGCCGGAGCCCTTTGGATACATTGACATTGGCCGTTCGTGTCTAGCTGTAGCAGCCACTGTAGCACCCGTGCTCGCTCTCAGGTCGCCGATGGGAAGCGTCCTCGTTGAATACATTGAATAAGAAGTAGAGTACATGTAGTAGGGTAGCAGTGTTCATGTCGGCCAGGCTTATGCCACAGCCACGCGCTGCCGCAGCTTTCCAGGCCTTCTGGTTCAGCCTGCACGAGTCTCAGGTGGAACGGGACCACGGCACGAGACACTTCTCATCGACTAGACTGACTAGACTGCCTGAACGAGCCTGGAGAAGTCTTTGGGGGAACCTGCCCATACAACTCATTGACCTGAACAATGCATGGTGGTCATGTGTTCATGGCATCTCAGCTTATCTGGGTGTCTCCGCATTATTAGTATCACGCCCTTGCCCATTGCCGGCCTCCAAGACACATACAGCAGTCCTGACTCGTCTTGGTAGCATCACGTCGGCTCTTCAACATAATATAATTCTGCATTTGAGGACGCCGCTTGCGCCCATTATCCTTTAGAATCTGTTCCATTTTAGGGCCACCCACTTCATGGTGCCGAGAGGACGCCTACATCCACTGGCTCATACTTCGTAGGAAAGCTCCATATCTGAGCGTGTCGACATGATAGATATTGAGGTCGTCTGGATTCCGGATTGTCTGGGTTGAGTCTAGAATGAGGAGTGGTGACATCCGAACCACATTGTTCGACACTACTGCTGTCAGCATCAGCACGAACCGAACATTTCACTTGCCATATCGAGGATGGCAACCCACTGGATTTTTCCGCTCCTGCGTGGGGCATTCTGTGCCTTGATCCTCATTGTTGCGCGGACGAAGGCTTCACCGTTCCGAGAAGGTTTGCTGTAGAAGTAGAGCATGGTAACGTGCAGTGATATTCTTCTGGCTGTATTCAGAGGGCACGCAGAGGCACCACTTGACCGTCGATCTTCTTATTGTGCTGTATGGTATGGTGCAGTCTGCAGTCTGGGCTCTGTACTTTGCTTCGCAGCAGGCGACGTTTGATGGCTGGCTGACCGTTTGGCCGTCACTTGGATCTGTCGAGGGGCTGGCACAGCTACCGTAGTAATCGGTGCATATTGTGGCATAGTCGTAGTTTGCAGCTTGCACGACCATGACCAGCGGGTTTGATGCCGGAACTTTTCGCATTTGACGCACGCTGTACTACTACACTGACAGTGTTCTGGAATCACAAGCTGTTGACCTTTTGACTCTGATGAGTCTTAGGGGCTTGATGGACTTCGAGCATGTGGGCGTGCAGACCACTGAGTTCCTGGCCGAACGCTAAGACGATTGCGGACTCCCAAATTTGCAGACGCC